CATAAAATGTATAACATAATAAATTTGTGATAATAAATAAATAATAGAATGAAACGATATTAAAATCAACTGAAATCAAGTTTTCCAGTAATCCAAGAACCACCTCATCATCACCAAACCATACCAACCATAACCTTCAGAATCATAAAGGACCATGGGGGCACATCAGGAAATGGTACTGTTACACTTACAGTATTTTCTTCCAACCACAGCTCAGTGCTTCTTTTTCCTTTTCCCAACAGGAAACTAAAACTTTCCCAGTGTAGCTGTATAGTTCTTCCAATGCCTGTGCATGTTTACCCAGTATAGCGTAACAAAAACAGCATTTCTCTCAACCTTAGTGGCGTTTCTCCCATGATGCATTACTTCATATCAAATACTGATCTAATACAGTCTTTAGTACTTCCATGTCAAATTTCTAGTAAGTGCAGTGCACAGAACTAATATACATACAGGTGAATGCACAAGAAATACATTTACAGATCTGATGTCACATTTTGAATTAATTTCTAGTGTTAAATAGCAATGACTTATGTTTTGAGGTGGATCTTCAGTTTAATGTTAAATATAATTCTTCCACCGTCTAAAGGACAGGTAGATGTACTGTAATAAACAAGGCAGTGAATGATTTTTGTCCAAATTATTGACCCACAGCTGCTGCGCCACAGCTCACACTCAGTCCACATGTCACACAGGATCTTTGTTACTCAGCAATGTGTTTTCTAGAAATTACTGCCTACGTGCCCTGTGTTGTTCACTGGCATCAAACTAATGACTATTACAAAGTGTTTGATGGGTTAGACCTAATCTGATGCAGCTGATGGTGTTAAAGGAGATTTAAATGCTTGGGTAGGCATCGTGTTAACACAAAAAGAAACAAGTGATTTTATGGATATAAACTGGATTCTCATTAATTAGCCTAAATAAAATCAACAAATAGGCACAGGTTGCAACTTGAAACCTTTTATTGACAGTTACAGACATTGTTTCAAAATGTGTAAATTAAAATAAATACAGAAACTTACCAAGTTTACAAAATGGGCGATATATCACTCATAAGTTTTAGATGTAAAATAAAACAAATTAAAAGACAGAAAAAATTGCATTGTGCCTACACTGATAAATTGTTGCATATCTGTACATTTTAAAGACAATACAGTCAGATTTACAAAGCCTGAGTGCCAGAATGGCCTATACTTTTCAGATTTTCAGTGGTAATTCCTATACAGGAATAATTTCAAAAGCTGCCATTTTTATAGGAAAACCAGATCACTAAAAGCTTTTTACCATAAGCACTTAATAAAATACAGTTTGATCATATATGAACAGTCATTATCTACACAACTCCTGTCACAGTAGCTAATATAAGGACTTGGAGGTATATAGAAGTATCTCCATGTGCCAGTCTTGGGACTCTGCTAATACTCATTGAATAATTACAGCCACACTGTATGTCTCAGACTCAGAGAAAAATGTTAACTGCTGCTCTCAATACATTGTAATGACATTTAGCAGGAAATGCAAATGCTTGCATAATTCAGGACAGCACAGGAAATTGCTGATAAACTGCGTGTACTGTGCTGTATTTAAGAAGTTGCACAAGATCAATTTATAATCCAATTTAGGAAGGGGTTAACCAGATCCAGATGAAATTATCAGCTTCAAAATACTGGCATACTATTCCATGATATGGAAATGGTCTTACTCATTTAACGGATAAAAATTAAAAGTCTGCTTGAATATGTGTTGAGAGATCAAATTGGCTGTCGTGGCCTCTGTGCAAAATAAGTGCTTAATGCGTGATTTTTATTTTTAAAAAAAACAAACAAACACAAGTATTAAATAATGGAGTTACACCGCGCCCAAGTGGAAAACCTCAGTGATGAGCCGCCACTCTCTCATCCTTCCGTTCATTTGTCCTTTCTCCACATGTCAGCCTCCTACAAACGAGTTACAGCGTACGGAAGGGCTTTGACGCTTTGAATGTGTACGAGAGTTGAACGTTCCACTCTGACATTGATCCACTGTGTGCAGCAGCTCACGGTTTTCACATGTTATACTCCGCCTGCTAGTGCTCCAGAACCACTGCTGAGAGACTCACGTTCATGTTCATTGTAACTGATCAGCTCAGAGAGTAGTCCACGTTTCGATAAACTGGGGGCTAATGGACATTTTCAGGGAACTAGAACGTCCGTCATAGGCTTCACGCGAACCCCTTCTGGATACTGGCTTCACATCAAAAATCTCTCTCTTTTAAAAAAATAGAGTGGCATTTAGCACAATGATATTGTCATGATATCATGACTTCCTTCCTTCTGTGCCCAATAGCAGGCTACTACTACTAGTAGTAGTACATGGGGCCACAATTACTAGTACTTGCACCCCATAAAATGTATTAACATATAAATTTGTATAAATAAATAAATAATTAGAATGAACTGATTTAAAATCAACTGAAATCAAGTTTTCAGTAATCCAAGAACCACCTCATCATCACCAACCATACCAACCATAACCTTCAGAATCATAAAGGACCATGGGGGCACATCAGGAAATGGTACTGTTACACTTACAGTTATTCTTCCAACCACAGCTCAGTGCTTCTTTTTCCTTTTCCCAACAGGAAACTAAAACTTTCCCAGTGTAGCTGTATAGTTCTTCCAATGCCTGTGCATGTTTACCCAGTATAGCGTAACAAAAACAGCATTTCTCTCAACCTTAGTGGCGTTTCTCCCATGATGCATTACTTCATAGTCAAATACTGATCTAATACAGTCTTTAGTACTTCCATGTCAAATTTCTAGTAAGTGCAGTGCACAGAACTAATATACATACAGGTGAATGCTACAAGAAATACATTTACAGATCTGATGTCACATTTTGAATTAATTTCTAGTGTTAAATAGCATGACTTATGTTTTGAGGTGGATCTTCAGTTTAATGTTAAATATAATTCTTCACCGTCTAAAGGACAGGTAGATGTACTGTAATAAACAAGGCAGTGAAGTGATTTTTGTCCAAATTATTGACCCACAGCTGCTGCGCCACAGCTCACACTCAGTCCACATGTCACACAGGATCTTTGTTACTCAGCAATGTGTTTTCTAGAAATTACTGCCTACGTGCCCTGTGGTTGTTCACTGGCATCAAACTAATGACTATTACAAAGTGTTTGATGGGTTAGACCTAATCTGATGCAGCTGATGGTGTTAAAGGAGATTTAAATGCTTGGGTAGGCATCGTGTTAACACAAAAGAAACAAGTGATTTTATGGATATAAACTGGATTCTCATTAATTAGCCTAAATAAAATCAACAAATAGGCACAGGTGCAACTTGAAACCTTTTATTGACAGTTACAGACATTGTTTCAAAATGTGTTAAATTAAAATAAATACAGAAACTTACCAAGTTTACAAAATGGCGGTATATCACTCATAAGTTTAGATGTAAAATAAAACAAATTAAAGACAGAAAAAATTGCATTGTGCTACACTGATAAATTGTTGCATATCTGTACATTTTAAAGACAATACAGTCAGATTTACAAAGCCTGAGTGCAGAATGGCCTATACTTTTCAGATTTCAGTGGTATATTCCTATACAGGAATAATTTCAACAGCTGCCATTTTTTTAATAGGAAACCAGTCACTAAAAGCTTTTTACCATAAGCACCTTATAAAATACAGTTTGATCAATATATTGAACATCATATCTACACAACTCTGTCACAGTAGCTAAATAAGAGCTGGAGGTATTAGAAAGTATCTCCATGTGCCAGTCTGGGACTCTGCTAATACTCTTGAATAATTACAGCACACTGTATGTCTCAGACTCAGAGAAAAATGTAACGTGCCTCTCAATACATTGTAATGACATTTACAGGAAATGAAATGTTTGCATAATCAGGACACACAGGAAATTGCTGATACTGGTGTACTGTGTGTATTTAAGAGTGCACAAGATCACAGTTTATAATCAGATTTAGGAAGGGGTTACCAGATCCAGAGAAATATCAGCTTCAAATACTGGCATACATATTCCATGATATGGAAAATGGTCTTACTCATTTTACGGATAAAATTAAAAGTCTGTTGAAATGTGTTAGAGATCAATGGCTTGCTCGTGGCCTCTGTGCAAATAAGTGCTTAATGGTGATTTTTATTTAAAAAAAACAAACAAACACAGTATTAAATATGGAGTTACACCGCGCCCAGTGGAAAACCTCAGTGATGAGCCGCCACTCCTCATCCTTCGTTCATTTGTCCTTCTCCACATGTCAGCCTCTACAAACGAGGTTACAGGTACGGAGGGCTTTGACCTTTGATGTGTCGAAGGTTGAACGTCCACTCTGACATGATCCACTGTGTGCAGCAGGCTCACGGTTCCTGTTATAACTCCGCCTGCTAGTGCTCCAGAAACCACTGCTGAGAGACTCACGTTCATGTTCATGTAACTGATCAGCTCAGGAGAGTAGGTCACCGTTCGATAAACTGGAGGCTAATGACATTTTCAGGAACTAGAAGCGTCCGTGTCATAGGCTTCACGGAAACCCCTTCTGGATCTGGCTTCACATCAAACTCTATTAGGATCTAATGAGATCAGAAACGGAGGAAACAGATTTACTACAGGGTGACTAAAATTTAAAAAAAAATAAAATAAAGTGGTCATCATGTGATAAGTGTTGGTGAGTGACTCTTAATTGAAATACCTTGATTAAATAATCAAGTTAAATCATTAGGAGCTGCATTTGCACAGTGACTTAAAATTCCTTCTTTTAGTTTCTCACATTATTCCAAGAAAAGGTGCAGCAAACTAATGTGCTGGTAATACAGCAGTTTATGAAAAAAATATATGTTTAAACATTTTTGAATGACATGAAAACAGTTCAAAGCTGTTCTGAATATATGCATTGTGACTGTAATGTACAGTAAATCGATCTGGATTTACTACCTTTTTGTTTATTTCATTAAAACTAGAGACTCAGTCTGGATTAAACCCAGGTTTGGCTCCTCCTATTTTAAAAAGCTACTAAATTCAGTCAAAGTCAACTCACCCTTGCAAGAGCAAGATAGAGCTCCAGCTCAGCAATACGACGACCTATGCAGCTGCGTTTTCCCACCCCAAACGGTACAGAGGCGTATGGGTGATGAGTGTTGTCCTTGTTCAACCATCGATGAGGCTGGAATTCATCTGGATTTGGAAACACTGCTGGATCCCGTGATGTTGCAAAGTGGCACAGGGTGATCAGAGTCTGGATGGAGAGATTTTATCATCAGATATGTGTTGCATTGCAAAGATGAATAATTAACATAACACATCACAGGGTATGAATGTGCATTTCCAGTGCATTCAGAAGGTATTCAGACCGTTTCACTTTTTTAATATTTTAGCATAGAGTGTAGATTGATGGGGGAAAAAATCAGTTTAAACGATTTTAGCATAAGGCTGTGACAAAAAATGTAAAAATGTAAAAAAAACAAAACAAGTGAGGGTGTGTGAATATTTTCTGAATTCACTGTATTTGCTCAACACACTCACATTTTTAGGGATGAGGTAGCCTCCAACCTGGATGTCTTTCTCTGTAATTACTCTAGCATTTGCAGGAATAACAGGGTACAACCTGAAAAATGAAAAATGAAAGCATGATTAGCTTGTACATTAGTAATAAGATGATTGGCAGGAAAATAACAACAACCTCTTGGTTTATACCTAAGCACTTCTTTGACTGCGGCTTTCAGGAGAGGCATGCGAGCCACATCTGCCGCCTCCGGTATCCTTCGACCCTCCAGTACAGTCAACACCTCGTCCCGGAGCGAGGCCTGCACCTCAGGGTGACGGGACAGCTCATACAAGGACCAGGACATAGTGCTGGAGATCTGAAATGTGAGAGTAAGACATCAGTTTGAAAAATCTGTTGTTCAGGATCCGGTGAAGAAGAGGACAGAAGGATCGTACTTACCGTGTCGACTCCTGCCAGAAGCAGCTCCGTGACGTTGCTGTAGACAGTCTTCATGGGCAGGCCTGTCTTGGACAGGAAGTAGGTGAGATAACGACCCTCCACCTTCTCTCCACGAGCAACTTTCTCTGCTTCGGCTGTCAAGCGCTGGTCGATGTAAGCTTTTGCTACAGGCACAGATATTAGGGGCCATTATGACAATGAAGGTAAATGTGAAATAAACTCCCTCACTCAAGGATACTGCACAGTGTGTGTTTTCTCTTATACTTAAGGTCTGTTTTCCAAATTCAAGGAAAAATAACACAACTGTTTGGTTGATTACAACCACAATTTGATCATCATGACTGGTGTTCAAGATCAAGACTTCACATTTGTTACAGTGCAGATGGTCTCATAGTGCGTGAGGGTTAAGGCCTTTAATCTCCTGCTTCCTGATCCAGTGTGGGTCAGCGTGATTATTTTAAACATGTTCAATTTTGACGTCTCAGATCTGGATAAGTCTTAATGTACTGTAAGAGTGAGTGGGCCGACAAACCCAGTGCTAAGTGGAAACCAGCAACAGCCAATGGGGACTGAGCAGAACGGAAGGAATTTAATTACATGAATTGTGGAAAGACATGCACTATGTTCCATCCCCATGTTTGTTTTGGTCGCATGTTGTAGTGAGGTGCTCACTTGTGTGGTGCATCTTTAGTTTGAATATTAACTGAGGCTTCTGTGTTTTGTATTTGTATTGTTTACAAGCAGGCATATATCGTCCTGCCATTTCCTAATACCGAATTCAAATGATGCAGTGGGAGAAATAACCTACCAAAATCAAACATGTAGTCCCAGCACTGACAGAAGATGTTCCAGGGTTTAGGGAACAGCTGGTGCAACCAGCTTGGCATGGCCATTGTAAGAAGCGTCATCACAAACATGGTGTTGATTGACTGGATGAAACGCTCTGTCTCTTCAGGAACAACCGGATCCAGGCAACCAATTCTGGATTCAAACAACACAGAGGAAATGCCTGTTGGAAAAAAAAAGAAAGAAAAAAAATTAAATAAGGAGTTTGTTGTTTGTTTGTTGTCAGCTGCTCCATCATAATAACAGAGCTCAGAAATAACTCTATGGTTACATTAAGCAATACTAAGAAACAACAATATAACAAAGAAGGGGCAGGGGGAGGGAGGGGAGGGGGGGGGGGGGTTGAAGAACATGGATGGAATATTAGCAGCTTTAAAAGTGGAATCAAAATAACCAACATGCAAAATATCTTTGATGGGTTGATGTACTTATTTCTTTAAATTGTTGACTTATACATTTGTTGTAAATACAAGCCAGAAAGTTTAAATTGTTTGGATCTTTCAGAGTAGACTATGAAGGGTTAACTGGTGACAATGATAGGCAATTAGACAGTTGTTTTCCTTTGGCAACATTTAGTTTCTTCCTATATGTCACAGTCTAGTTCTTGGCCCAGCTTCCATTCAACAATACAGTCATTTTGGCGATGGTAGAGTAAATGTTTGAGATATATGCGTGCGACCACGCAGGATTGACTCTGTGTTTAGTCTGCGAAAACCTGGGAGAGGAAAATGAATGAATGTAGGTCTCTTTTCCTGCAGGATTAACTGTTCAGGTGCCTTGAGGCTGAGAGCAAGTTTCATTTTTTTTTTATTCTGATCTGTGTATCCGCAGACCATTTTCTTTCTTTCTCAAACTGAGAAACTTGATCGCAAATATGTGGAAAGTTCTGCCTCTTAAATCACATTTGGAAAACCATGTACTCAGGAAAGGTGCAGTGGTGGAAAGTAACAAAGTACATTTACTGAAGTACAGTTTGAAGGTGCTTGTTCTTTACCTGAGCATTTCAATTTTACTACTACTACTTCTGCCCAATTTCATTTAGAGGGTTTATTGTTCTTTTTACACTGTTACATTTATCTGACAGCTGTAGGTACTTAACATACAAAACATATGATCTGTTCATAAAATATATTGCAGTTATAGGTTAAACTATTCAGAAGTATCTAAAGTAGTTTAAATGAGTGTTTTAACATTAAATGATGCTTACACAGTAATATATCAATTACAATTACCCAATAAATACAGTATAATGTTTATAATAACATAAAACTCCATTCTGGCCATTCTACTTTATGAGTACTTTTACTTTTGATGCTTTCAGTATATTTTCCTAGTAATACTACTGTGTTCTTATTTAAGTATAACTTTACTTTACCTGTAATGGAGTATTTTAATTTTGCAGTATTACAACTTTTATTCATGTAAAGTATCTGAATACTTTCCACCACTGTGAAGGTGAGATGAAGGTTACTTGTTGCAGCTCTAAGGTGGAATGTTGAAATTATCATAGCATGTCAGGCTTTGACAGGCATGTATGTTTCAAATGTCAGTGATATCACATGTTATTGCTTTCTGCATGCGGCTGGCACTAATTACCAATGTTTACATGGTGTGGTGCACCCTGTGGTGATGCATGACATTTCCACGCATCAGACTACATGAAAACTTACCCTCAAGGCCGAAGCGATAGAACTCGCTGGCGATATCAGTGACGAGGCCTTGAGGACGTCTGCTGAGGCGAAGTTTGGCAATGAGGTCACTGACCACGCTGTTCAGGGTTTTGTCATAGGCTTCCACCGCCTTTGGCCGCAGCATGTGCTTCCCCAGGAGACTTCTGACCGCCTGCCACTCTTCCCCCTCACTAGGAACACACACAGAGTAAGGCTGAATACTGACAGGCATCTGTGCATACAGCTGAATTGTAGTACTTTATGGTTTCAAGAGGGAGCGTCTAACTGCTGCTTTGAAAGGGTTTTCTCCACTGTACTTCATTCACAATCAGCAAAAAAACAAACTTGACACCTGATATATACATTCAGTATACACAGTAAGACAGGAAATAATTGCAAGTTTTGTAAAGTCTAACTTCTAAATATTACACTTTGTTTAATCTTAGTTTGTAGTTAAAGCAATTACTTCTTTAGTTATGATTTTTGGATTTCCTGGATCAAAATAGTTTCATGTAAGTGAATCAAATAAGTTGAGGAGAGGATGGTCGATGTCTGAGCGCCTCATCTTTGTTGTAGTCACTCATCTCATTTACATCACATACCACATGTTACATTTGGTTTAACATTGTCTTGTGATTTAGGGTTTCTGAGAGGGGACAGGACAGAAAAGTTGCCAAAAGTCAGAATACATGCAAGTGGTTATGCAACACTCACGATGTCAGGAGTCCGTAGTGATGTCCTCTGAGCTTCCTGTAGTCCTTCCAGGAGGAAAGGTCAGAGCGCATTGGGTGCTGGCCCTCCTGCCTCAGTACCTGCTCGATGAGCGCTGGATCAGCCACGTGAACTGTGAGGATGGGGCCGAAGCTGGCCTTCCACATCGGGCCGTACCGCTGCACTCCTTCCAGCTGGAACATGAGACAGAGGCTTGACCTTGTAAAAACACTGCAGGCTAAAAGATGACTGGCATCATCTTTGACTGCACTCTCTTTTAGTTCAAAGCCAAGTGCCGAAATAAAGATGCCTGCAGGCTTTTCTAAACTACTAATGATTAGATAATTTTCAGTGAGGATAAATAACTTAGGCACAGTTTGATCAGCCAAATCATATTTACTTGGCAGACATGTTGATAGAAGATGGGTAAATTACTTAAGTTTTTTACAGACCTACTGCACAGTGGATGAGCAGTAATAGAAAAATCAAAGAAAAAACAATGAGTGGAGAAACATAGCTAATGCAGATGCTCCCACACAGGTGCACTGCATGGTACATAGATGGCAGGAGCTTCAGTCACTAAGACTGCTCAGCTGGCTAGTGTTTCAATAGGAACAATCACTTAAGTGACATCTGCATTTGGATCTATGGGAAAGACGTCAGTAAGCAGGGTCAGATGTTGTGGTCGAGAATGGTACAGGCCTGGATGCTTGACCCCTACAGTGAGGGGATCCAGGGGCTCTGTTATGCTGCGGGGGGCATTTTGCTGGCATGTTTTGGACCCACTTGTCGGCTCAGAGGATAGGATCACTGCAAATCAATACAAAGTTGCTCTGAGTGAGCACCTTTATCCTATGATGAAACATTTCTATCCTGATGGGAGTGGTCTCTTCCAGGCTGACAATACCCCCATCCACAGGGCACGAGGGGTCACTGAGTGGTTTGATGAGTTTGAAAATGATGTGAATCATATGTTAATGCTTTCGCAGTCACCAGATCTCAACCCAACTGAACTGGGAGATTTTGAACCGATGTGCACACCACCACCATCAAAAAAAACAAATGAGGGATTATCTGGGAAGAATGTTGTTCATCCCTCCAGTAGAGTTCAGAGACTTGTAGAATCAATGTTAAGGTGCATTTACACTGTTCTGGCAGTACAACATTTGATGGCCCAACACCTTACTAAGACACTTTATGTTGGTTTTTCATTTGTCACCCGTCTGTATTTTAAACATTATAAATCAGTGGATACAGAGAACAACACCGTCCAATTACTTCTCGAAAAGGAGGTTTTTAGATTAAAGTCCCCCTTCGCTCACTGCTTTTATACTGGAAGGCTTTTTTTCCCATTCATCTGCTGTGCTCACCTTACATCTGAGTATGTACCGGCTCGCTTTGTAACATCTCATCTAGCTTGAAAGCCAATCATGGTGCAGTATGCAGCTTACACAAGTGGGAAACCTCCAGTGCACATGGACTTTTTAAGTGAAGTAGGAGACATTTTGTGTCTAGTGAGTGAACATTTGCATATTTGTAGATTTTTCACTGGGGTTGGAGGAGCAGCCTAGATGTGTTTATTAATAAGTTTTATCTAGTAAATTTAGGATCTTTGTGGAAAAAAACACACAAATTATTACTCAAAGCAGAGTTTTTCTAAATATCTTAAAACATATCTGGAGGGACTTTTTAAGCACTAATATTCAAATAAAAAAATGCAGCTCATTCTTTACCGCTACAGCCACCTATCAATCAAATAAGTTTTTTTCAGAAATCTATTAATAATGCCATTGAACCACCTGTCTATCAGTATTTTTTCTTCACCTGTCCACTATGATGCATCCGGAGCTGTACGCAGTTCTATTAAAAATGCAGGCATTGTAAATATTCTCTTTAACTTGATCCATGTTGAACTTCATCATCCTACCTGTAACTCGTGCAGCCGTGACAGCCCCCGTTTGGCGAACAAGTCCCAGGCAAAGCTGGCGAACGACGGTCCGGGCATGTAGTCCAGCGTCCTCACCGCCTGCTGCTTGGTGCCCTCCGGACCCGCTGATGCGCCCTCGGCCCATCTCTCCATCCACTTGACCAGGGGGAAGGCGCTCCGGCCGGATACTCTAAGAGCTTGCTGCAGCATCTTTCTCACAAAGATCATGGAGCGGTGGCCGGACGCGGATCCCTTGGTTGTCGGGGCTCATTTTGGTTTCCCCGTCTGGAGCCTCTATTTATAACGCGCGACCTGCTCCGCGAACCTGCGGAGATAAAGCTGTAAATTTTCTTATTCTGGGCCAATCATGGGTGTAAATTCAGCGCAAGCCCCGCCCGGATGAGACTGGGAAGGCGTGAGCTGAGAAGAAGGTGTGTCCAATCAGAGGGCTGAACTCAGACCATCCCAGAGACAGCACACGTGGAGGTCCTGGATGAATAATACATGACTTCCCCGTTACTGTTCAGGCTTATCTCTCCTTCTGTGAAGCACTTTGCTCTCTGATAGTGCAGCAGACTGACATATTTAGAGCGATCACGCACTTGTGCATATGTTGTCTTGTGATCTTCAAGGCCAATGTTATTATAGATCCAATGTATTTAAAAGAGAGAAACCAGGTCTGTTTGACAGAGATAAGAGGGCTGGAGGTTAGTTCCACCTTAAAAAGACAGATCAAAACCAAGCAGAAACAGTCACTCTAAGTGCCACAAATTTTGACTTGGCCATGCAAACTAAGTCCCATCAATAGGCTATAATAAGAATAAGTTTGTAGAGGGTGTACATCCACAAAGACAGTGGAACATTATTTTAAGTTTAAAAAGGAAAAATAGGCAGGGATTCCCTGTCTGTTTTCCAGACCTGCTGGTGCTTTGTTTACCCAGCTATAACCAATTCTTTTTCTGACTTGGTGGCTTTCCTAGCGAGGGAGAAAATCCTGACCTGATTTCATTCAAACTGGAAGTTGTCCAAAGCACCATGTGTGTGGACTGTGAAGTAACAACCCCAGGGCTGTACTCAGAATCTGCTTTGACATTTGATCCCACATTTCGTATGCTCTAACTAGAAATCTAGAGATCACCCAGTTTCAGAGAAACACAGAGGAGCGACCGGCAATCCTGAGCTATAAAATAATGAGGCATAATGGAAAGCATCTGCAATTCCAGTGGGACGAGTGTGTTTCATCTCTTACTGTACTTTTCATATCCACTATCATATATTCAAACATATCTATTGCTTACAGGATGAGCCTCTAATTTTCAAGAAGGTCCTGACATGATATCACATTTGATCAACTATTGGGAGGTGCACAGAAAACATGTAAAAGGCTAAAATAGGTTAATGTCAAACCATCAAAAGAGAATTTTTTATAATTTCTCTAGACACTGAGGGATCAGAGAGACAAATCTGATCAAAGTGGATTAATGAATACTTGTAAATACTGTAAAAACTGCTTGAAATAAACATGGTCATTAAAATGAATATATTCAAAGTGAATATAAACATAAATACATCCATGTAAACTATTGTAAATAACATTTAAAAGTAAAAAGATGGGACATAGTAAAATTTATGACACACAATACCAGCATAATTCAAAATAGGCAGCAGCAACTGGATGACAGGTTTTTCCCTGACATTAAAAGAGAAACATTGCCTGGACCTGGATGCCTGGACCTCAGTTTCGTTTTTTAATATCAGCACAAAGATTATTTAACTGGCTGGCAGTCAAACTGGCTATTTGACTGGCTGTTTAGTGCCAAGAAACACATGCAATCCTATTGGGTTTGATACTGTACTTTTTCAATGATGATTGTGTGTAATTTTTCTGAAATATATGATTAATAATCATCCTGCTACCTATAACCCCAATAAAACATCTTAACCATTTTCAATCATAAGTTATGATGACAATATATCAGCCAAATGCTACAGTCTTACAGGTGCGTATATAAATGTGTGCACCCTGAAGGAGAAAGAAATATGGGTTGGTGCTTGAAAATGAGCCCGGCAGCCTAGAAGTAGTTCCAAAAATGACATATTAGCTTTTTTCTCTCTCTCCTTATAATGATGTGCAGCATAACAGCAGTCCAACATATTATTTATGCAGGAGTATCCTGTAGATTTACTACAGTGTTACAGGCCTGTGCCCTGTGATGTGCACACTTAGTCATGAACAGGCAGCGAGGAGTTTTGCTAAGTGAAACAGTGATTCAGAGAAATTTATTTCAGAGAAGTTCTTCACACTGCAACATCACATGTCCTGCCAATCTGCTGCCAGGTTAAAGGGTCACTTCTGACATGATGCATGACGTTTTGATTTTAGCAGTTAGTTGGTGGTGTGGGATCTAGTGCAGAACACTTGCTCATTGTGTTTTGATCTTTATTTTCTGGGCTAATCTCATGTGTCTACAAAGGTCAAGTAAAGTGTGCATGGTTTATCTGGCTGGGGGCTAAACTAAATTTGTGCTAAAAACCTGAACAACCCAAGTTGTTCGATGCTTCTGGGCTAGTTTTGGTGCAATTTACATAGACCTACTGGTGTGCATTTGTCTGCATGGAAAGATAGGATAGAAAATATCAGGAAATTTACTCTAATAGGTCTGCTCTGCAGACTGGCAGGTGCAAGAAAACTATACACATAACAAAAGCATGAACAAGAAAAATAGCAGCAGAAAGACACTGACATAACAAAGTTAGATAAGACTGCACCTTGGTGATCATAGTTAACGAACATGACATCGATACAAACACTTGACAACAGCTCCAGCTGCATTGAGCAAAACCTCAAGGGGAAAAGGGTTGAACTGGGAGACCATTTTAAAGTACTTCAGCAATCCCCACAGATTTGACCTCACTATTTACAGTACATGACCTGAACATGTGATTCAGACTTCAGATTTCAACCTGTGATGTTTGGTAATGACGATGAAAGTGCAGCATAGAGCAAAGATCAAGCCCACTGTCAGAAAACGTCTATACACGAGACACATACACGAGACTTCCTGAGTGGAAGATGCCGAGTTATCATCAAGAGAGAAAGATAAACAGTGACCTCTGAAATTTACATGAACACATAAACAACTTTTAAACAAGGTCACCTGGTTTAAAAGTTGGTCTTATTCAATACACTGCAAACAAATCAAACCCAAGATATTTTATCGGTCTGCTGATAAGAAATTTGGATTTTTTGACATCAGGCTGCATACATAACTGCAATGAAAATGTATGTCAAAAAACTCTTTGCACTTCTTGCTTTTAGCTTTTCTAGGAAAGATGGCACGAACGCTCAGATACTCATCTTGAAGACCACACAAGAAGCTGACACAAATTAAACTCTCCCCAAAGCGCGACATTTTTAATTAATCTGTCCCTGCCTGAGGAACTGGGGGATTAATAAGATATTGATTATGAAAAACATAATAAGAAATCCAATGAAAGAATGGCTTCTTTGTGCTGTCGTGCAGTATGGACTGATGTGGCCCAGTTATAGATCATGCTATAGAGTGTGGCGGGGATAGCCTGAGAGGTATTTCCCTTTACTGTATTGGCCCAGTGCCCAGAAGGGGCAGACTCCCAGACGAGTGTGTTAAAGTTCATGGCTGCAGTCTGCCTGTCTGGGTGGTATCAGAAGACTGTCTTTACACACACACACAAAGGTTTGATTGTGTATCATGAAGGTATCTTTTCAAGGTGGAGGTTTGTGCTTACAAAGTGAGTTGTAATTTCTCATATAACTCCTCAAGACAGTCCAGTTTCTAAGTCCAACACACACACACACACACACACACACACACACTGGGAGGGTGTTCTCAGACTTTTGGACCCCACTGTATGTATATATTTTACTGTAATTGTAGGGGCATGTAATTGACATATTGCATTCCCTAGCCCATTACCTTACCCTTAACCATTACAACTGAATGCCTAAACCCCTACCCCCAACCCTAACCTGATCCTTACCCTAAAACCAAGTTGTAAGTCTCAAACAGCCATCTGAACTCGTGCAGTTCAGTACTTTATGGATATGTGTATATGTGCCCGGAGGTGCACACCTGTGTGTGTCGTGGTTGTGCTAACTGTTGTCCCTCAGTGAGTGTGTTTTTGATTTATGCCAAATCTGTTTATCCATTAGTTTTAGATGACTATAAACAGTTGAACCATTACTTTTACTATTACAGCCTCTCTGCTCACTTGCCTGACAATTGCCCAAATATCCATTTTAGAATTTACTGTACAATTAGTTTATGATAGCCTTTGGGAATCACAACATTAGGACAGTCGGTAATCAGTCAAACAATAACCACAATTTCAGTGATTGAGACAAGCTCTAATGGGTGAAACTGGCTCAGAGTCCTGGAGCATTCATTTATACCTTCATGTTGTATTAAGTTGCTCTTCACTGCTTGGAAACCAGTTCAGGATTGAGAGTGATTACAGAGTCACTTACAACTACCAACTGCAACAATCTGCCAAATGCCCCAACAGCTGCTTGTGAACATACAGCATATGATGATGCGGTAATGAAGAATAAAACTAGAGCAGTGAAATTACTGAATAATGATTTTTATTGACATATATGCGGTAATTGATAAAGACTGTGCAGTTTTAAAAAAAATTCCTTCATGTTGTGAATGAATGTGTGTTTAAAGTGTGGTGAAGGACATCTGTTAAATTAAGAACACATCTGGACGCCAGATGTGCCCTCTCCACCTTAGTGATGGCATACATGTGATTGATTAAAGACTTTCTTTGTTCCTGAGCCCTATGTGACACACCTACTGTATGTAATGACACAGAAAATTCTCTGCAATGATTTTTCACTAAAATCTATAATATACGCTCCGCCTGAGAGTCTGCGCAGGAAAACCAACGAAAGAGTGAGTGTGAATCATCCTTTCGTAGTAGTTACATCAATAACATCAAATCACATCTGTTGGATGAAGCTGTACATAAGCAAAAATGGTTTTAAGATAAGCTGCTTTCCTCCACATTCTTCCCGGCCAGATGTATTGTACAGTGACACTCTGACGACATGCCTTGTCTACATCTGTTCGTACTCCTGCCAGGACATATACTACTAGTTGATTGATACATTCTTCATCTCTACGGGTTTAATTATTCTTCCCACTTTAAAGTATCTCTGGATTTGCTTTCCTCTGAGGCTTGTT